TATACTAAATTAAAGATATTTTTGTATAACTTTTGTATGTGACAAAAAAGAATTATTTCCGATTCATATATGCTAAAATTTGTAACAATCTTTATTTTAATATTCTGAGTATAATAAATCAATCTAAACGCTCCAATTCTTATAATTCCCAATCTTCAAAGTTTCCATTTGGTAAATACCTTCTAATTATGAAAGGAATTTTATTTTCATTTAATTCTTGTTAAGCTACCATTATTGGATCAGTTGTTTCCTCTATTAATATTTAAATTATTATATACTTGGATCAACATATATAGGACTATTTTTACTAATTTAAAGTGCTCTTGTACCGATTACTCTTGCTCTTTCATATTTTGTTAAAAATGGTGGTGTTATTCTTTCATTTTTATTCACTCTTCTTCCTTTGCTTTAGGAAATTTGTCCACCTGTTCTAATGATTTATTAATCTTCATCTGAATCAGATTCTGATGTTACAGAATGTTTATCTAATTTTAATGGATTTATAAATGTACCTTCTGAATCTGTATTAGTCTATTCTAAATCTGATGCATTTGATGTTAGACCTATCCCAACATTTGAACTACTTTAAGAAGCATCATCAATTTCAGAGATTTCTGGTTCTTAATCACTTTAATCACTCATTAATTAAAATATTATTACACAAATATTATGAAATTTTTAATTTCAATTTTTCTATACTTTTGTTTTTATATATTTAAGCACAGTCTAATTATTTTAGATCTATCAAATATTAAATTAAAATATATGATGGATATACCATTAAATATAATTATAAGTATATTATCATATTTATCTTACAATCATACTCAAAAAGAATATTTTATAATTCATAAAATTATCTATTTTTATACAAATAAATAGATATTAAATTTTGAGAATATATCAAATTTCTTAGACTTTTAATTGCTAAAGTAAAATATTGAAGAATTATTAAAATTCTTTTTAATCTACTTTTACATTATTTGGAATTTTGCTAAGAGCTATTTCAAATAGTTTTTAATTTAAACTACTCTCTTTTCTATCGTAAAGCATTTTTTCAATTAGTAGACATTGTTCACATTTTTTTTGTTATCTTGTTTAAATCATATCATAAAGATTCCAGATTTATTCATTCAATTTACTAAAAAGATTGGATGATCTCTCTTAAGACTAAAGAATTTTGAAAATCATATGGTTTATATTATTTCCAACAGATAAAACATGCTTTGATATTTTTCTATTGATTTCTATTAAAGGTTGACAGATCATATTTATATAACAAATACTAATACTAAAAGATAAAGCTCCCAAAAACAAAATTGATAAAGCTGCAATTAAAATCCAAATTTCAGATTCCAGAAATGCTTCTTCAAATTTTTCCTTTAAAATTAATTTAGATGTAAGGTTGGTAAATCTAAAATTCAAAAAAGTAAATACATTATTAATGTAAAGTTTTCCTTCTCAAATTTTTCACTTCTCAAATGTACATAAGATTTATAAAATTTATTATATAAAATAAGGCATTTAGATAATAAATGTTGATTTTCAAATGATTAGTTTTAATGTTACATAGCTTTATTTTCCATTTGTTTCCAATCGGATATATTAAAACCAGTAATTGATTCATTATAAATATAAAATACTTAACTATTATCAATCTTTTAAGTTTCCATTTCATAGTAAATTACTTATCCAAATTAATTGATTAAAATTATATTTGATTTGACATTTCGAAGATTTTAGTCATTTATAGATAACATTACCTTTAAAATTCCTAAAACATTTTTATTCTAATCATATAAAGATTAAGTAATTGAGAAATAATAATTATAATCTCCAACAATCATCTTATAAACATCTGTAAAGAAATACGATTGATTTGGATCAGATTTGGATTTTCTTATGTGATCAACATACCTTAAAATTTATTAAAAAAATACCAAGCCCGATTATGAAGGTCATAGTTTGGAATTTAATAACCAAAAGGATATAAACTATTATAACTAATATTACTGATATCGACAAATTATAAAAAGTCAGGATAAAATTTATTAAATGCTAAGCCAAAATGTTCTAACAACCTCAGACCATTATGAAGCTAGTTTATTTCTTAATTGTTCTGTAAGGCATTTTCTAATTCTAAATTTCCATAAATTAAATAACACATTTTTTATNTCAAATTTCTTAGACTTTTAATTGCTAAAGTAAAATATTGAAGAATTATTAAAATTCTTTTTAATCTACTTTTACATTATTTGGAATTTTGCTAAGAGCTATTTCAAATAGTTTTTAATTTAAACTACTCTCTTTTCTATCGTAAAGCATTTTTTCAATTAGTAGACATTGTTCACATTTTTTTTGTTATCTTGTTTAAATCATATCATAAAGATTCCAGATTTATTCATTCAATTTACTAAAAAGATTGGATGATCTCTCTTAAGACTAAAGAATTTTGAAAATCATATGGTTTATATTATTTCCAACAGATAAAACATGCTTTGATATTTTTCTATTGATTTCTATTAAAGGTTGACAGATCATATTTATATAACAAATACTAATACTAAAAGATAAAGCTCCCAAAAACAAAATTGATAAAGCTGCAATTAAAATCCAAATTTCAGATTCCAGAAATGCTTCTTCAAATTTTTCCTTTAAAATTAATTTAGATGTAAGGTTGGTAAATCTAAAATTCAAAAAAGTAAATACATTATTAATGTAAAGTTTTCCTTCTCAAATTTTTCACTTCTCAAATGTACATAAGATTTATAAAATTTATTATATAAAATAAGGCATTTAGATAATAAATGTTGATTTTCAAATGATTAGTTTTAATGTTACATAGCTTTATTTTCCATTTGTTTCCAATCGGATATATTAAAACCAGTAATTGATTCATTATAAATATAAAATACTTAACTATTATCAATCTTTTAAGTTTCCATTTCATAGTAAATTACTTATCCAAATTAATTGATTAAAATTATATTTGATTTGACATTTCGAAGATTTTAGTCATTTATAGATAACATTACCTTTAAAATTCCTAAAACATTTTTATTCTAATCATATAAAGATTAAGTAATTGAGAAATAATAATTATAATCTCCAACAATCATCTTATAAACATCTGTAAAGAAATACGATTGATTTGGATCAGATTTGGATTTTCTTATGTGATCAACATACCTTAAAATTTATTAAAAAAATACCAAGCCCGATTATGAAGGTCATAGTTTGGAATTTAATAACCAAAAGGATATAAACTATTATAACTAATATTACTGATATCGACAAATTATAAAAAGTCAGGATAAAATTTATTAAATGCTAAGCCAAAATGTTCTAACAACCTCAGACCATTATGAAGCTAGTTTATTTCTTAATTGTTCTGTAAGGCATTTTCTAATTCTAAATTTCCATAAATTAAATAACACATTTTTTATGTGTGCTAAATGTAAATATTATTTAAGAATTCATCTAAAGTAGAACAATAGTCAATTTGATGAGTAAATTTGATGTCTTTTTAGATTTTGGTAAAATAGTATAAGAAAGATGAGATATGGTCAACTAATTAAATGCCTAAATAGTGTGATTTTATTAGATTACTTAATTAATGCTTTTCTTTGATATAATGTTTCATTAGATGAGTTGTAAGTGAAATTTACACCATGTCTTATATTTCTAAAGTATTTTCTAAAGATCTTTCAGATATATAATAAAATATCTTGATTTCAATATAAATGGCTGCTCCAGCTATGCTTAAAACAATGAAGAGAATTATAAGATAAAGTGAAATGATTTACGATCTCATTTTTAGATTTCTAAAAGCTTAAATTATTACGTTGGCCATATTATGTAAAAGCTAAATAAATTATTGCTTTAAACATCTTAATTTTAGTATCAAGTAATTAAATAAGAAACATCATTAAACATACAATTTTTGTCAAAGTAAATAATAAATGTAAAATGTATTATGAAATGAGGTTTTCGTTGAAAATCGATATCGTTTAAAGGAATAGTAATTTAGACTTTTCGATAAAGGGAAAGTGTGAATAAATAATTATAAAGAGAACAATGAATAGAAGAGGATGAAGGATAAGATAAAGAAAATAAGTTTAGTATATATGAAAGAAATATGATTAAATAAAGAGATAATTAGAAATAACATAAAATATAAAAGTATAATTTATATATATAAAAATTAATTTAAATATTAGTTTGTAGTATTGGGATAATAGAGTAAGATAGATTATGCAAGTGAAGATAGTTACTTGAAAAATGATTTTTTTTAATAGTAGAAAAGGTTATTAAAGTTGATAGAATATTTGTGTAAGAAATAAGAAAATAATTGTACTTAGTGTTAGATGAATTTGAGATACTTATTTTAAGGAAATGTATTATCTTAGAATGCATGTATTTATTGTTCAATTAATGCATTTGCAAACCTGTATTAATAAATGAAGTTTTATCCAGAATCATGTATTGTATGTTCATATAAATTAAAGAATTATTCAGGAAATTATGAATGTTCATCAATTTGCTAAATAAAAATCTTGTATGGCTATTTTGTATCTATTTTTTATTTAAGGCCAATCCTATTAATTCTATTTGGGGAAGTTATGCTTATTGGTTTGTATTCTTTAAATTCTAAAATAATCCATTTATATTAATGTTAGATCAAAATGAACCTATCAATTATTTATGGTTTATTTTATACTATCTTAGCATTAAGAACCACATCTCCTTTTATTATCATTTATGTTCAATCTTCTATCAACATTTATTTTATTGATTAGAAAACCACTGAAATTCATAGACTTGTTGAATTAAAATGAATTATTATGATGTTTGGAATTATAAACAAAAAAAAGAAATTAAATAATTAGTTATTGAAAACGTTGGATTATAGAAATTTAAATGGAATAATTTCTGAAGGTTAAAATCAATGAAATTAAAAAAGTTGATAAAAGAACCGATTTCATTAGAACTAAAGAAACTGCTTTAAAAATATTTAATTACCCTTTATTATTTCTATAAAAATCCTGACTTTATTATAGGAGGGTATATTTTAATGGTTATGAAATGTACTTTCTTGTATTATTACAATCATAATCAATTTTAATCTAATTTTCAACTTTCAGAAGCTTTTTAATAATTATATTATATATTATTAATCAAAATGCAATTATTTTCTATCTCAAACTGAATTAATTTGTTTAAATAATTCATAATTTTATTAAATTAAATATATATCAGGATACTAATTACTATTCTTAGGAATTTTTTAGATTATGATTAGCAATAATTAATACCATTATTTAAAATTGAAAAATTTGAATTGAATTCTAATTTTTCTAAGATGAGAATTATAAGATTATTAGTTATTTATAAATGATTAAAATATATATATTTAGCTAAATTAATTATTTAAATCATTAATCAAATTCTTTATTTCTTTTTACCATTCTTACTTTAGAAACTACTATTTAAACTTTATGATTAATTTGTAGTCTTGGGTGGGTCTTATTAAAATAGACCTTGAAATAATAAATTAATTTTACCAGTAGTTTGCTAATTCACAGGTGGTTAAAATAATGACATAGATAAGTCATTTTATTAAAAAGGATTTTTCTAAAAATATTATAGTGCACCAATGTTTTAAAGTTATGGTTGTATTTACGGTTGTATTTATGGTTATATTTATGATTATAATTATGATTATAATTATTAAAGAAATCCATTAGTATTAGTTTATGGTTAATTAAATGATCCAAAAGTATTCTATGTTTGTATTTATTATCCAAATTAGAATTATTAAGGAGGTTAAGATAAATCTGTGATTTCCATTTCATTATTCATACTATGATTATTTATGTTTATGTTTGTGTTTGCATTTGTATTTGTACCTAATTAAAATAAAGAACTTTATTATTAAAATTAATTTAATTATGGATTCTACTGAAAAGATAAAAATGAAGTTTATGGTTGTTGTGGTTATACAGGTAATGCGAACATAGATTATGCATTTGGTTAAAATAGATCATTTTAAAATAAAGAAGTCTAAACTTTCACAGGTTCTTCCTATGGGATTCTACTTTAATAAGAATTATTTGAAAAATATGAGTTAATTTGTTCTTAATCAATTTTTGGAGATTATTATAAAAAGGGATTATCAATTTATTTAACAGGAGTAGCTACAGATTTTATAATTGGATCAGAAGAAAAATTATCAGATTTTGTATTTTCACTTTAAGGTATTTATTTTTATTAAAATAAAAAAGGAGATTATTTTTATTATTCACCAGGTTTAGGTTCACTATTAATATTAAATTAATTATTTTTTAAATCATCAGATGATGATTTCCATTAACAATTTAAACCCATAGAATTATGAAATGGTGTTAAAATTTCTTATTTTTATGAATTACTTTATTATTATTATGTTATTTCTTAATTTTTAGGAGTGTCAGTATTATTTTTATTTTCAAATTTAAATAATGATGCAAATAATGAAGGATTAGGTGTTTCTTTATCTTTATTATCTTAGATTTTATTAATTTATATATTATTAACACTATTTAAAAAAGGAGGTTAGTCTTCAACTTTAGTTTCTGTTTTTTCTTTTTCTTTTTCTTTTTCTGCTTAAGTTTAAGTTTAAGTTAAAGCACCACCAAATAATAAACTAACTGGTTAAATTTCTTTAGTATTATTATCATTAGATTATTTATTAGAAATTGAAGTGAATTATAGAATAGATGGTTCTTTGCTATTTTGATTAATATTATTATCTACTTTATTTTTGATTTCTGGAATTTAAAAGGTAATTCCTGAAAATAAACCTTATTATTTTTATTCTTCTGGTTTTTTTTGAACTTCTTAATTTTCAATTACTTAATCTTATTTTTATTCTTCTTTTTATTCTCCTTGAATAGATTGAGGAATATTATAAAAATTTTAGAAAAGTTATTTCTTTGTTTTCACTTAATCATTAGTATTAAATTAATCATTCTAAGTTGCTGTTGTATTATTAAAATTACTAAAAATTTAATTTTTTTCTTCAATCTTAGGTTATTAATCGGTATCTTTTTTATTATTTACATTTGAACTAGAAGATTCAGAATTTGATGGTTATTATGGAGGTTCCTAATTATTTGGTTTATTTTAAAGAAAAGTGAATTAATTTTATTATAAATTCTAACCTGAACTATGATCAGAAGATTATTATTATTATTAATTCAATTCTTTAGAATCATATGTTGCAAATAGTGATGATTAAACATTAATTTTATTAGAAGGTATTTATCCTTAAAGATTTTCACTATTTTTAAAAATTCCAAATAAAGGAGTGTCTGATAAATTATTAAAATTTTTATCTTATTATTCAACAGGTTTTTTATCTTCAATAATTTCTTTTTATAAAATATTAAATAATGAAGTAGTTGTTTAAGGCTTATCTAATTTAGTAGGTCCTTATACTATAAAATTGATTACAGTTTATTAAGGTTGTACTAAGGATTCTATTTTTTTATCTTCTTATGGTTTTTCTTCTTTTTATTATTCAACTATAGGTTATTCTTTTTATAATTCTTATTATTTAGTTTCATTTGGTTAATTTAAAAAATCAGATTATTTTCTAGATTTTGGATTTTCTAATTTTTTAGGACTACATGAATATGATTTCCCATCTTATTCATTCAAATTAATCATTGATTATGATTTCTTTAATCCTTTTGATTAATGTTCTATAATTTCATTAATTGTAAGCATAGGTGGTTCAGATTATTTAGGTTTTTCATCTTTTAATTAAACTATAATTATTTCTTTTTTTAATTATTCATCTTTTAAAGTACCTCCTGCAAGAAGACTATTATTTTTAAGAGAATCATCACTTATTTATTCTGGTACTTCTTATATTCTACTTTCATTTATACTATCTTAAATTTAATCTTAAACATGTTTCTTATATACAAATTTAATTCCCACAGATTTTTTTTTTTCTAAAATTATTTAAAATTCATACCATCAAGTTTTCTTTTTTTATATTATTAAGAACTAAGCTTTCTACGAGGTTGTATAATTTGATTATCTCTAATTTCATCCTTATCTATATCTTCTGGTAAAACAGGATCATAACTTGATTTTTAAGCTAATCCTTATTATTTTTGATATTTACAATTTAGCTTCCTCAAATGTTTTTCTTCTTTTTAATAAGCCTTTGATGCCATATCATTTTCTTATACTATTATACTTTACTATTCTTTTAGATGATCATCAAAGCTTGTAAATTTATTTCTTTTTTATCGAAGGCTACTCTGAGAATTTTATATGTGAATTGAATCTAAAATGTATATTATTATTATTACCTTATTCTATAGTTTATGCTCCAATTATTTCAGAGTTAATTGGAACATATATTGTCTATTAAGATATAATTTCCCTTTGTATACAAGATGAAGGATTCAAATTGATTTAAAAGAAGCTTTTCAATTTGTTGATGATTTTAGTACTTATACTTGACTTTTCTTTTGGATATTTACTAAATGGATTGAATCCAACACATGAACTCTATTTTTTGCCTAACATATTATTTATATGTTTTTAATAATAATACATTTATATAAATAATTTTTATTATTTAATTTTTGTAATAAATAATGCCTTCCTATAAATGGTAACATTTATATATTTATATATTGTTGTAATAATAATAAATAATTTTTATGTAAAAGTAAATTGATGAGGTTGAACTATTATTAAAAAAGAGTCCTTAACATAGAAGTAAAGCAGAAATTGATCTACTTGTTAAATTAACATCAGATCTTCCCTTTTTTAAATAATACACAAAATTGGATCATGGAATTCAGATCTAAAGATAATGTTGTAAAAATATGTATTGTGAAAAATTTAAACCTAATGAAATTGTGTTCTATGTAGGTAACCATTAATTCCTACCTCACTAGATAGTGTTGGCACTAAATTCTATATTATTTTAGAAGGATAAGTTATGGTATTAGTTAGAAAACCAAACTAAATCGAAATGGAATCAGTAAGAATCCTAAATAAAGGAGAATCTTTTGGTGAATTAGCACTCTTACACAAATAACCAAGACTGGCTACTATTTAATGTCTTACTGACTGTACTTTTGCAGTTTTAGATAAATAATAATTTAAACATATTCTTTCAGAAGAATAATAAAAATAATTAGATGAAGTATTTATCTTCTAATTATGAAGAATATCGATTATTTCTCACAAATTAAAATATTTTAACATCTACACAGAACATAATTGAAACATATTTATCTAAATTCCTTTCTATATGAATTTGAAAAAAATCAAATTGTTATTTAAGAAGGTTAAAAAGTTGACTATTTTATTCTAATCAAATCTGGTAGTTTCTTAGTCAAAAAGTTTAATAAAAATAAATAAACTAATTCAAATGTAATCATTTTATTCTTCTCTTAGCTATTTGAAATTGGAGAACTCTAAGTATTTGGATTCTATCACCTCAATATTAATCTACCCTATGAATATTCTTTGATTTGTAATTCAGCCAAAGGATTCGCTTATAAAATTTAAAGAACATCTTTAGTTGAAAGAATGTTTGAATAACAATTTGAAGAATTAAAATTACATAGAATAGAATTACAATAATTTGCTGAACTTAGAACCTAAACAGATGCAAAAACAGCTTCTAATTTTCCATAATATTATTGTTAAAGAATCAAAACAGAAACTATTTTAGAATCTCCACATTAAAGTGAAAAACTAATTGAAACTACTAAAAAAATTTAATAAATTTAACAAATAAAAAAATAACAAAGAATTAATATTATTAAATAATAACTCGAATTTTTATCTTAAAAATAAAGAAAATATCCTATTAAAGTCATACCTACTAATGTAATGACACAAAATTAATCTGAACTCTTTTTTAAATCAAAAACATTTTATAATTTTATTACTTAAAATGATTCTCAAGAATAAGATTATTAATAAATCTAATAAACTTAAGAAGATAAACCTAGAAATAAAATTAAAAAACTTACATTAAAAACTCATTTTCCAGAAGATTTATTAGAAAAATAATCTTGTAATAGTCCTTTAAGTACATCTTAATCCTAATTGAGAAGTCATAAAGAAAAGAAAAGAAAAATATTACCAAATGCATAAAACAGAATTAAATATAGAAAAATTTAGTCTTAGACTCACTTTTCTCCTCTCTTTAAAACACCTAAAAACCGTCTCTAATTTATATAAAGTAGTGCTACAAGCAATAGAGTTTTCTGATTAAATTCTAAAAGATATAAATAATAAATTTATATACCAAGTATTTTTCTAAAATATTTTATTTGCAATTTAATATAAAAATGCAATAATTTACTTATAAAAATACTTCCAATTATTCTTACTAGAATAATAATTAAATGATTAATAAATTAATTTAAATTTGATTCTAACTCTTTTATTGAAATTAATTATATAAAAATATCATTTTTAACAATTGAGACATCCATCACATCTACACAAATGTGTACATGCTAAACTATTTAAAAAACATTCACAATATTTCTTTTAGCATCCAGATTTTTTACAATTACATCCTTTGAAAGATTATTTAAATGCTCCTGGATCTCGATTAATTATTTAAACTTTAGCCTCTTTTCTTTATTCACTATTAAGAGGATTATTGAAACAACCAACACAATTACAATTTTCTGAACACATTTATCCGTTAGCAAAGCAATCACAATACTGTTTTAAACATTATGATTTCTTACAATTACATGATCTTGATATTTTACATAATATACTTTGAATTTGTTATGATTTTTGAATTATTAGGAGGAGGAAATATTATTTTTATTGGTCGATAAATATTCTTTTAATCTAACTATATTTAAGTTTCTACTGTTTCCTCTTCCATTTCAATTCTATTCTATGGTACTAAAATCCTATTTTTAATATTTTAAATACCTAAATGATGAGTCTTTGCTAACTTAAAAAGTTTTCATTAGGTTTAAAATTTGAATTATTTATAATTCGTTAAAAATTATTAATATATAATAGTGGTAATATAACCCATAAATATTTGTACACTACATTATTTCATATTTTGGATGTCTCAGAAATTTTAATTTTTTAACATTCATATTTATTCGAATTTATGATTGATTGTAATTTTATCATTAAAAATTGAATATAATTTCATATGTCTATCGATTGATATTATAAATGATTCATAACTACTAGAAATGGTATTTCAAATACATATTTAAATGAATTATGAATAAAATTAATTTTACTAAAAATATCAACACATAACAAAGTTTTAAGATATCAAATATATATAATATCATAAACCATAAACATAGTATAGAAAATGATCATTTCTCAAAATCAAGCATTTTTAATTTATATTCTAAATAACTTCTAAAACCTGACCCATATGATAGGATTACAATTTTTCTTATGTTAATATCAACATTCACTTCATTATTTAAATAAGTATATGATATTAAAATAATTGCATTCCAATATTATTGTAAGATTCATCATAATAATCCCTTATAAAATCTTGAATAAATTACTTTAATGATTTTTATACTAAATCCCCTTTAATTTGTTTAAAACTTTTCTAATATCATAAAAAAAAGACAATTACATGATTAACGTAATGCATATAAAAATGTCTGATATAGAGTTTTAGATTCTAATGATTTTTTAGTTATTATCGAAATCTTTTTGATTTAAATTAGAGTTTTTAATAAAGTTATTCCAATATTTTGTTTCTGTTTTCACATTATTATTTTTTAGTATGTAATTATATTATGCATTTGCTTGTAATTTTTATAGAAGCTCTAGATTTAAGACGTTTTCTTATTGAATAATAATTTTGAGAAATAAAGAGGAGGTATATTGTTTCATATATGTGATTATAATAAATGTATAAAAATGATTAATAAATTATCAAAGCTAAAAGCAAGGAAGGCAGTCCAAGTTTTTAACTTAAATTACCTCAATTAACTAAAAATCCATATGTGTAACAAAATAATTATATTCCAACTTAAAGATCAAAGAACTAATCACCTTTTTAAAAATAAAATAGTAAAGGAAGATCAATTTCTAATATGATTTCAAATAATTCATTAGAAGTATCAACCCATATTAGCACATAAGAAAGAATCAAAACTAATAATTTTAACAAAAAATATCAATTATAAATTGATGGTTTAATAGATAAATTTAATATGAATGCTGGGTTTGATTACTAAATGAAATACTTAGATTAATTAGAAAAATAAAGTTCAATATTAGTACATAATTACTTATAAATTCATCAACAAATGATAAACTAAAGAAATCGAATAGGTTATCCTAAGAAATGATTGATTACTGATTTTTGAAATAATTTTCAAATATAAAAGGTAATTTACAAAAAAGAACTATATATTTGATTTAACAATTTTTACAAATATTTTCTATCTTAATAATGTTTAAATAATAATGTCCATAATCTTTAAATTGTGGATATCTGAATAATTGCATAGATGATATCTGTATACATAATCCAATATTTCCCATGTCCTTATATACTATTTTAGTATATATAATTTGTCCTATCTTGTTAGGATTAGGAATGACTGGAGGTTTAGGAGGAGGAGTATTAAAAGGACCAATTCTTTTAATGATGCTTGATTACGAATAGAGTTATGCAACTTAACTTTCATATTGTTTAATGTTTGGTGGATGTGTCATTAATACATTTCTATTAATGAAAAAATCACATCCATACGATTAATAAAGACCATTAATTAATTACAATTTAGTTGTAATTTTAAATTGTTCTATTGCTCTTGGAACATATTTAGGTAGTATCCTTAATGTTTTTCTTGCTCCTTTAATAGAAACTATTTTTTAACAAATTTTCTTAATTATTGTTATTCCATTTTTATTCAATAAAGCAAAAAAAGAAAAACTTAGAAAAATTAGATGCTAAAGTTAACTTGATTTAGAATAATATTTACTTAATTAAAAAGATTCAATATTTACTGATGAATAATAACTATTATTAAAATAGGAATTTTACAATTATTTTCCATCTTAAAAATTGATGATTGCTTTATCTTTCTTTTTTATTTCATAAATAATTATGACTGGAGGAAAATATCTTAAACCATATATTCATATAAATGAATGTTTTGATTTTAGATATATTTTATGGATTATATTACTATTTGTAAATCTTATTATGACTAGATTTGTATATAAATATGGTTAAAATGTAATATATTAAATATCATCATTTTAGAAAGAAAAAAAGTTTGATGAATATAATATATTTATGTCAGAAAGATATTTTCAAAAGAAACGTTTTATTTTAATATATGTTTCTGGGTTTTTAGCAGGATTAATTTCAGGGCTTTTGGCTTTAGGAGCAGTATTAAATTTTTTTATTAATTTAAGGGATTATTGATGGTTCCAGTTTTATTGCAATTAGGTTTACATCCAAGAATAGCCACTTCAACATCTGCATTTAATTACTTTTTTATTGGTTTAACTAATGTTGTTAAATTAATAACTGATAGCCAAATCTAGATTTTAGAAATTGCTTGGTTTTTTAGTTTAGCTGTATATATATATATTTTAATACTTTTTCAGTTTATATTTGGAACTTTATGTTGCCATTATTCAATGAAATTTATTGAAAAAATGAAATTAGTTCATATAGTGATATATTTTACTATACTTTTAGCAGTTTTAAATTTTATTGCTGGAATTTATTATCCTATTGTTCAATCATTAAGATTTGGATTTAAAAGTCTATTATAATTTGAATTTCAATGTTGAGTTATATTTATTTATTAAAAATTAAATTATTTTATTAAATTTTAATCAACCTCAACAATTAATTTTATGATTATAATCATTTTAATATTATCAATTTTAATCATTTAACTATATTGTCAATAGAGTAAATATTCGTTATCCATATTCTGATTGTTTTATTTATTATAATAAATTTGGATTCTATTTAATCAGATCTAAAAGTTATTGCGTTTGTTCAAGATCAAATATCTATAATAATTTTTTTATAACATAATTTCCAAATGGATTAGTGGCGATATTTAGAAAAATGAACCTAAAATACATAATTTTATTACATTCCATTTTAATCTGAAGGTTTGATTAAAATTTGAATAAAATTATTCTTAAGTTTTGGAGTTAAATATTCAAGGATAGCTTCTACAGTGTTACTTGCATATTTATTAAAACATAAGGATTCTAAATGATTAAGTATATAGATTGCTATAAAATCTAAATTTTTGGGTTATTTAATGGCATATTAAATTATGTGATTTCCATATTAAGATTTATAGAGTAGATTTTAATTAGATATACAAATTTATATTAAATTATCTACTTAAGCTGGATAATTATCAATAAGTTTTTAAATAATTTTGCACCCATATTATGAATCACACATATAGACACATAAATCTTCAGTTGGTTTCAATATAAATTTAACTGCATCTAGAGAAAAGTTTTCCAAACATTTTAAAATTACATATTTACCATTTTAATCAATCAGCAGAAATTAAATATTTTGCTTTATTTCTTGAATAAATGGGTTTACAAGGCGATTATTTTTAGAAATTATATCGATTAGTTTTTAAATAACTCTACAACCAAAACTATTTTTCGATAATTCAAAAACATAAGGTAATAATTATTAAAAGATCTAAACTTATTAGACTAGTGTTCCTAAAAAATAATTTAATAATTTATTACCTTTTTCAAGGATCTTTTAAATTAAATAATTTCCAAAGATGTCTTTTGAGAATTCTTAACAACTAGCTTATACTTTACAGAATATTTATTGTTTTTAATTTGGAGATCCAGTTTCAAATATTTTTTAGACTTTTCTTGATAACACTTGATTTCCACACATATTCTCCTATAATATAATTATATAAAACATTACAATATCATAGTCTAATTATATATCTAAATTTTGATTTGGTTTTTGATATTAAGGCCAAATTGGATTGGTTTAACTGAAAAATATTGGTGAAAATTATTCAGGTTATTTTTAAAAGCAATCAAAACAACGAGTATTTCCAAAGATCATTGAATTCTCTAAACTTGTTTGATTATCAGAGCTAAATGACGTGCAAACCCCAAAATTATTTTATTAAACCTTTCTATCAGGTGAAATAGGGCTGCATATTTGATCTGAACACAAACTTATTTATTCGAAGGATTTGCTGAATGTATCTGTTGTTTAAAAGTTATATTATCTTTAGATTTTATCTAAATTTTGAGTTTAATTGCATTCAGTGCTTACATTTAATTTCTTCTAATCATAAGACTCATTTTCATCACATACTTACATATAAAATAGTAATTTACTTGATAAAATTGATCCTAATAAGTTTTACTCTGTTTCAAAATCATCATCTGTCATAATTTAATTAAATATATAAATATACTAAAAAAATTATTTAATAAAAAACTAATTTCTCTCTCTCTTCTCCATTAAAAATTATCTATTAAGTTTTGATTTTATTAAACCTTATGAAACTATCAATAATAAATAACTTTAAATAAAAACATAATTTAACTTAATCACTTTATAATACTGTAATTAATCAATTACTATTCTTGAAGTTAATCTAGCATATTGAAAAATGATTCTGGAAATAAGTGTAACTCATTAATATATCAAAAATTGATATACTTGCCAGACTAATTTAAATATGTCTAAATGGAAAATAATAATATATAGATTAATATATAAACTTATAATCTTATATTAAATTTTCAAAAGCTAAAACTCTTACTTTTATCAATAGTAAATATAATCTTTTGTAATTTAAGCTATTTTAGTTTTATAAAATAATGAAAGTGAATATTATTTATTAGTCATTTTATAATAACTTTATGTTATTTTATATCACAAACTCTATATACATTTTTAGAATATGATGAGTTCTCCAAAATATTTTTTATATGATAGAATAATGATATGAAAGTATTGAGGGAATGATATCCTGAATTAATAATAGATGATTCTATAGTTTTATGATTAGAATTTATTGATTTTCTCTACCATGAACAATTTATGTTTATTCAATTCTACTTAGGATAGTTGACACTTAATGAAATTAAATTAAAGAGTAGAATGTATAAAGAAAAAATAAATTTTAAAATTAGATTTATTAAGTTTCTATAATATAATCTAAATGAAAAATAATATAGAAGAAATTCGATAGATCAATAGTTATATCTATATTTTTTTATAATTTCATTTAAAATGATGAATGATAATATTTGTATATGAAATTTATATTTAAAATATAAAAAGGAGAAAAATTGTGTAAAAGTGATATGAAAAAGAAAATAAATTGTTAATGAATTAAAGATTTTATTAATATTTCTAGCAATTTCTCTAATAAAAAGTACATGTAAAAATTTAAATTGCTCAGAATTTCTATTAAATTGAAATTCATTTAAAAAAATATACCAAATAATTATTATTATATTTAAGAAAGAATATATTTGTTCTCACAATAATACATGCATTTCGATCATTAATAACAATCTACTATAAATAATGGAATTTATAGTTTATGGTAAGGAATTGATGAGGAAGAGTCAAAAAGAGAGAAAAAAAAATAATAAAAGCAAGCTCATATTTAATTTTCTGAATTAGCAGATAAGTAAAAAAAAAGAAAATAAAATTTGGATATTTAGAAGAAAAAGAAAGGAAAGTAATTAGATAATATTTAAAAAAATGATAATGAATTAGAATAATAAGAGTAAATATAAGTATATATATATTTTTGAATTTAAAAGGAATAAAAATATGAAACAAAGCCATAATTTGTTTTATTAGTAAAACCAAATAAAGAGGAGATATAAATAGATTTGTAATAATATATAGATGAATAAGTAATAATATGAAATAATTGAATATAGTATTTAATAAAAGAAGATAAATCAAAGATTTGTAGTTTTAAGTAGGAGAGTGACTTTGGACATACTGAATATAAATTAAGATTGGTAGATCCTGATCCAAAAAGATTAACTCATTTGACAACTTAAATGAATTTTAGATTATCTGAAGGAAATGGAATGGCATATTATAAAATTGGTGTAGAAGATAGTGGTAATCCTTTAGGTTTAAATAAATCTGATATGCTTGGATCATTGAAAACACTTTGTTTAATGGCTTAATCTTTAAAAGCTGAATTAATAGTTGTAGGTATAAATGAAGGTACAAATGGAAAAACATGTGAAGTAATCGTTAGAAAAGGTTTAAAAGATGGAATAAATTTGGATATAAGAATATTACTTTTAGGTGAAAGTGGATCTGGGAAAACATCACTTTTAGGAGTACTTAGTACTGGTTCATTGGATAATGGATAAGGATTAGCAAGAATGAAATTTTTAAAAAATAGATCAGAAATTACTTCTGGAAAAACAGAAAGAGTGAGTCATACTGTAATAGGTTTCGATAGTGAAGGCAAAATTATGAATCATTAAAATTAATTAAACTTTAGTCCAACTTGTATGGTTGAAAAATTAGTTGATTTGTCTACTAAATTAATTACATTTATTGATATGGGTGGTACTAAAAGAGCACATAATCAAATGATTTAAATTATTAACTCTCAATTTCCAGATTATGCTTTATTAACCATATCTTCATTATAATAAATTGGAAAACCTACTATGGATTTCCTTAAATTAATTTAAATTCAATAAATTCCTTTTATGATTGCTATAACTCATGTAGATCAAATTACAGAACATTATTATGCAGAAATTATTGAATAATTAAAAGATATGATTAAAAGTCTCTAAATTTAAAGTGTTCCTATTGTTGTTCGTACAGAAGAAGATGTTGTCTTATTTAGTAAATAAATTTTAAGCAAAACTTTAATTCCAATATTCTTAATATCAAATTTAAAATTAAGAACTTTAGATTATTTTATTAAATTCTTAAATTTATTACCTTCTACAAATGAATTAACAAATAATTCAAATTTAGACACAGAATATTGTATTCATAATGTTTTTGAAATTAATAACCAAAAAGTACTTGGTGGTACAGTTCTTAAAGGAATTATTAGAGTCAAATAAATACTATAAATGGGACCAGATAAAAATGGACGCTTTTTCCCTATTGAAATTGAAGAAATTTAATGCAATAGAGTTCAAGTAATATTTAAATTAAATATAGGTCAAATCTGCTTAATGTGGATAAATATGTACAATTAGGTTTAAATAAAGTAATCTTACTTAATAATTTGGATCAGATTAGAATCCTATTAGACGTGGAATGGTTTTAATTGAAGGTAAAAGCAATCCTTAAGCTGCTTGGGATTTTTTAGCTGAAATTTGGTTATTTGATGATTAAAAAGATGCCAAAAAAATTGCTGTTAGTTTTGAACCTGTTATAAACACTTAATGTACTAGGTATTTTATTTATTTCTATTATTAGATAAATTTGTAAGATTATTAGAGAAGAATAATTGTAGTTTGAACCTTTAACATTAAGAAAAAAATAATCAAAATCTATTGATGAATCTTGCATGTAAAAATCTGAAACTCCTTAATCAAGAGTATCTTTTAGAAAATAAAGTGAATAACTTAAGAAAGCTAACAGTTCAAATAATCTAAACAAATAATCATATAGAAGTCCTCGTAGAAAAGGTAGCAGTTAAATTAAATCTTATACAAGTGAAGAAGATTAAAAAAAAAAAGACTTATTTGTGATAAATGAAAAAATCGAAAAAACTTAAGAATTTATTGAATTAATTCCTAAATAACCTAATATAATAAGGCTAAAATTCAAATATTCCCCTGAATATATTACAAAAGGAATGAAATTGATTATAAATGATAATGGATTACAGGCTTGGGGTTTTATAAAATACATAAATTATTGATTTAGTAATATAATTTTTTAATTGATACATTCAATATTATATTTCAAGTTTGATCTTTAAAAATATATCAATTATTATGATGATATTTTATAGTAAATAGAGTTTATTCTTTTAAGAAATTGAATTTCTTTTTATGAATTTATAAAAATAATGAGCAAAAAAAGTAAAATAAATAAAAGCAATAGATTCATAGAGATTTTCAAACAGATACTTGATGTATTATCAATCAAAAATGTAGCGTACTGAGTATATAGACATAATAAAATGGGATGAATAAGGAATAAAAATTTAAATAATTGATAAATCATTATTATAAGAGAACGTGTTGCCACGATTTTTTAAACATAGCAATTATTCAAGTTTTTTAAGGTATTAATTTTAAATTAAGCAGATAATTGAATATATATGGTTTTATTAGTTGTAGAGATTAAAATGGTATATTGACGTATTAGCATCCATATTTTACTTAGAGCAATATGATTTAGAAACTTATTCAGAAAAAAAAACAAATTATTGTGGATAAATAACAAATAGGAACATTTATTATTGAATAAGAAGAATTAAAAAGTACAATGACGTCTTTGAAATAAGAATAACTAAATATTCAATAATAATTGGTTAAATCCATTTAGCAATAATTGAGATTTTAGCATCATTTTAAATTGATAATAGAAGTATAATTTTATACAATAATTGATAGAAATTATTAGAGATAAAGGCTATTTAAGAAAGAAGAGGAGTATTTTTTATTGAAAGTATAAGAATGATAGTTAGAGCAATGAAACCAGAAGCCTGTAATTAAAATTTATAATAAAATTGATAGAGACTTCATTTTAGTATCTTATAAAGTGTGTATATCCAAACGAAGAAGATCTATGGATGAGTGAGACATTATCTATAAAAGAAGATGAAATAGAGATTCCTTATCCAACTTCTCCAGCTACTTTTGGAAAAGCCGTTGTTGAAGATATTGGAAATTATTTAAATCATAAGTAAGAACAATTCAATCTTGAAACTTTGGAACCTGTTTGGTTTTTTGGTTAACAAGAAGCAGATTTTAGTTTCTTTGGATTTGATTTATGATGCTTAATGTGTATTATTTATAATTATAAATGATTTAATAAAATATTTTTAAATTAATCTTATAATGACAAAATAAACTAAAACATTACATATCATCAGAAAATTTATTTTATTAATTTTACATGCATTAAAAAAAAAGTCCAAAGTTTTTAGACAGGCTTTTTGATTTATTGGAAGTATTAAATTAATTTCATTTGTTTAGTCTGAGCAATATAAATTCTTGAGATGGAGTGATGATGGTAAATCTTTTGAAGTTTCTGATATTAAGAAGTTGGAGAAATAGATACTTAGAGTATTTTATAAGCAGAAATCATTTGCAAGTTTTATACGGTTTATATTATGGGTAATTTGTGATAGGCAATTAAATTTATATGGTTTTAAGAGATCTAAGATTAGACGAAATATAAATGTGTTTGCTCATCGATATTTTATTCAAGGAGATAAGTATGAATACTTTTAATGAAGTAGAAAATAGTTGATAAATATCATTAGTTAAAATAAATTGAAGGTGTTGGAAGAACTTAGTCATTAAGATAACAATCTGAAGCACTAAATTTATGAGGCTGAGCATCAATAGCTAACAGAAACATTGAAGGATCTATAAAATTAGTAAAAATAAATTCAAATGAAATTTAATGAGCAAATTCATTTATAGATGTAACTAAAACTACGAATTATATAAATAATGAACGTAATTAATGAATTAAAGAGTAGTAAATTAATACTCATGATATAACTATAAATATCAAGGCTTAGCATTCTTACTAATTATTATGTAAAGTGATGCAATTGATTCCAAATAATGAATAACATAAAGAAGAATTATCAATAATTCGAAGTATTTGTAAAGTGTTTAATGAATTTCATTTGGAATCAATATCATCATATTTGGGAAGTCCAAATGATCGATTGACTCCTTTGCCATTTTATTTATAAGATTCAAGTGTATCTTTAGAATTTGGTAGCAAATTAGGTTAAAACTAATTTTATGAATTGTTGCAAAATTAAGCAACTAATATATTTCAACCATCATAAGTAAAACAATAATTCATGATTTGATTATATATTTTTTATAAATGTATGTGAATTTAGCTTTTGTTGAAGAATCTAATTTAAAAACCGAGATTTTGAAATTAACTTACACAACAGAATATAAATTACATATTTTTAATAAAAACATTTCTATTTTGGAATATATATTTTGAATGGGAAGTCGGTGTAGTTAATGTGATTGCAGATATGGAAGAAATACAATATAGGAAAAGGAAATAGTGGTAAATAATTAAATTGAATGAGTAAGTTAGATAATAAAGGATCAACAAATAATAAAAATTAGTCACGAAATTCAATAGGAAGTAATTAAGGAAATGGAAATGTAGAATAATAAAGTAAAGATTAAGAGAGTAAAAGAAATGAGAAATAATCATAAAGTAATAGTTAACCAAAAAAAGTGCATATTAAATTTAATGAATATTAAAACTAAAATGATAAAATAATGAAAGCTGCAATAAAAATATAAAGTAGATATCGAGGATATTAAGTTAGAAGGAAACATGAATAATAAAGAATGAAAATAGTGATGAGAAATGCAAATATGGGGGCTAATAAAAATTATATGAAAGAGAATTTAGAAGTTATAAATACACCTTCTAAGATAAATGATTATTTGGAAACTCGAGGTCCATATGAATTTAAGAGTGGTGCAATATATTAAGGTTAATGGATAGGAAATTGTAGAGAGGGAATGGGTACTTAAATATGGCCTGATGGAGCGAAATATGTAGGTGAATGGAAAAACAATAGGGCATGTGGAAGAGGAATATTTTACCATGTAGATGGAGATAAATTTGATGGAGAATGGGATTAAGATAAAGCAAATGGGAAGGGGATTTATTGTCATTCTAATGGTTCAAAATATGAAGGTGAATGGAAAGATGATTTATAACATGGTTATGGTAAAGAGATTTGGAATGATGGATCAAAATATACAGGAGATTATTATTAAGGTAAGAAATAAGGATAAGGCAAGTATGAATGGCCAGATGGTTCATATTATGATGGATAATGGGAAAATAATAGAATAAATGGAAAAGGACATTATTTTTGGTCAGATGGAAGAGGTTATGAAGGATAATGGATAAATAATTGTATGCATGGTTATGGTGTATATACATGGAAAGATGGAAGAAGATATGAAGGATAATATCGAAATGATAAAAAAGAAGGTCGTGGTATTTATTAATGGGCTGATGGTAGAAAATATGATGGAATGTGGAGAGAGGGTAAATAAGAGGGGGAAGGAATATTTATATTTAATGATAATACTAGAAGAAAAGGATTATGGAAAGAAGGCAAGAGATTAAAATGGTTAGATAATGAGACATGAAATGTATATTAAAGAATTAATGAAATTTATATATATACTTGAATTGTTTATCAAAAATTTGAAATCTTTTTTTAATTTAAATAAATAATAAATGGGCAAAAAAGAAACAAAAGATAAGAAGCCAGCATAATTCAAGTAATAATCTTATTGATAATTATAATAGAAAGATATATGAATTGTTATCAAAATATACTTAAGTTATCATCGTTGGATTAGCAAATGTTGGATCTAAATAAGTGTAAGACATCAGAAGAATTTTGGCTAAGAGAAATGCCCTATTAGTTATTGGCAAAAATGTAATAACACTTTTCTATTTTAGACTCTCTTCAAAAAAGTATTAGCTACAAGAGTTTAAGAATTACCAAAAGAACATGAATATTATGATGAATTGTCTAAATTTGGTAATGCAATTAAAGAATTGGATGCCTTGAAAAACTCTGTTGCAGGCAAAGTTGGATTCATATTTACAGATACACCAGTCTTTGATCTTAAACCAGTCATTGAAGAAAACAAAGTTGAAACTCCAGCTAGAGTTGGTGCTGTTGCTCCTATTGATGTTGTTATTCCACCTGGACCAACTGGTATGGATCCAGCTTCTATTCAATTCTTCCATGCACTCTAAATCCCTACCAAAATTGAAAAAGGTTAAATCCAAATCACTAAAGATTTTGTTGTCTTAAAATCTGGATAAAAGGTTGGTTAATCATAAGCTGTCTTATTGTAAAAATTAGGCAAAAAACCATTCTTATATGGGTATATATTATATCTCATTTTTTATTATAGAATGGAAGTTCTTGCTTGCTATGACAATGGATCTATCTTAAATAAATAATAAGTATCAGTTAACTTGAATGATATTGTTACCAAATTCTAACAAAATGTTAAAAATGTATCTGCTATTTCATTAGCAAATGGTAATCATATTTTTTCTATTCTTTTTAGGTTGGGTTAATGAAGCTTCAGCTCCATATTTATTAGCTAATGCTTTCAAGGATCTAGCAGCTATTGGTTTATAATCAGGATTCATCTTTGATTAAATCAAATAATCTAATGCTCCAACAACTGCTGCTCCAGTTTAAGCTAAAGCTGAAGAAAAACCAGCTGCTCAATAAGCACCAGCTAAAGTTGAAGAACCTGAAGAAGATGTTGATATGGGAGGTTTATTCGATTGATCATGAAACAATAGTATATTAATAATACATACACATAAATAAACAAACAATCTTAAAAACTTTTTTATCTCTTTTCATTTATATATTAATTAAATACTTATGTAATCTCTCCAAGTCAATCAGTTTTTTTCTTTGTAATTGGATTTTTTAAAATCTGAATCTTTTATTTTATTTATAATTATCATCCAAAAAACTCATAATTAATTATAAATAAATAAGTAATAAATTTATAATGGGAGGATTTTCACTTTTTTTTTGGATTTTTATTTAATAATATCTTCATAAAATATAAGCAATATCTAATGAAAAAAATAATAAATAATTAATATTCATTTAAAGTGTAAATTATGTATTTTAGAAATAAAATAGATTCAAAAATTATAATTAAAATAATTGATCAACTATTTAAAACAAAAGTAGAAAAATAAAATTTTCCAAATCATTTTAATTTTGAAAAAAAGAATCTATCTCAAGTTTAAAAATAAATAAATCAAAATGAATAATATTTGAATAATTATAAATGATAATTAAAAAAAGGAGGTGTTTTAAAATATATTAGACTTAATAAGTAATGTAAAAAAAGAATATTTTTATTCCATAAAATTAAGAAACTTTGATGATTATCTAATTAAAAACTGTGATATTATATATATTAGTTATTTTTAAAAATCAGAATGAATAAATGGACTCATTACGAGTTTTAATAATCTCCCAATTCAATTTCACTTCTTTCATCATAGAAATTAACAATATTTCTTTGCATTTCCCAATTATGATTATTCAAATACTTTTTATTCTTATGATAAAACACATAGTATATTCCTAGACATGGTAGTTAATATGAGACAAAAATGACAGCAATATAAATAAGAATTTGAGTAACATTAGTTTTTTGAAGACATATTATAGGGTTCAATTCATTAAAATTAGTATAATCATACAATAGCATGACAATAGATGAACTGATGCTACAAAGGACAAAGACAATAACTTATACTTTCCTATTTTATAATTCATCCATCATAATTTTATGCAAACCATCAAACATATGTTGATTACTTGAATCTTGACAGTATTTTTAGATTTAAATTAAAATATTGAGTCCAAAATATAATTAAATGACATTTGTGAGAAATAGAAATCCAGAAAGTAGCATCCATATTTATTGATCACATTAAAAATGTGAATTAAAACCTTCCAAAAAAATAATGAAGCACCAAATTGATAAAAAAATCAATGAAATGAGCTTTGAAATTTTATCTACAATTTTCTGATTAGCTATATAATATTTATAGTTACTAAACATTGCTCATTATCACTATCTAATTTGATTAAACAATTTAATAACATTAAGTCTTAGAGCATTCTGAGTATGCGTAATCCACTTAGGAACATTGTATACTATTAAATTAAGAAACCTAATAACAATAACTCTAAATTTCAAGATTTAGTACATTGAAATGCAGCAATAAAGAATATAAGTTTATCAGTTGAATCTAATATATCATTGACGTCTTTCATTATCTTTCTTAAAGCAATTGTCATAGATATCAATAAAATAACAGATGTTGTAATCAATAGAATCTATGATAATAAAGAGTACAAACTTTCCATTAAATAATATATAATTATTAATTATAGTTAATGATATTAAATTGTAATAAATGATTTATATTAATCATCTAATTGAATATCAATTTATCAAATTGATGTGCATCTTGCCCACCAATTTGGCATTGTTTGTGTGGTTTAGGGAACATTTCTAACCATGTATTTTCTAGCTTCATTCCAAAGTTACATTAAGAGACCAAAAGGTAATGCTAGCATTTAATGCTAAAATAAAAGATCTCTAGTTTGGAAAGCCACATTAATGCTTTAAACGTAAGTAAGTCCCATAACTAAGATAATAAGAGTCATGAATCCAAAATGCATAAATACATTATTGAAACCTTAAAAGATGCCTGCAGATTTATGAGTCTTTAAAGATTGATAGTTGCACATCTAAGTGTAAGCAAGTCCAATGAAGTAAGCAGTTTAAGCATATTATAAGGCTTCAGTACTGTAACAGACAGGCTTGTTACTGAGTGGAGATATCTAGTCTATTTAACATTCTCCCCAAACAACACTTAACTCCCATTAATTAGTTTGAGTATTGCATTGAATATAATACATTCTCAAATCTACATCATTATTTTTAGAGAATAACCAATCAATAGTCTCAAATTTAGTTTCATCATCTGAAATACAATGTTATCCAACAGTTTCAGGTTATTATTAAACTCGATCAGTATAAATATTTTTAAGATTAGTGTTGCCAAAGAATCTATCATTAGGATCAAAATCATCAGTAGGTTTAGGAATAACACCATTTTTAGCAAGGATTCCCAATAAAGAATCTGAAAGAAATCCATAATCGTAGAAAACAACAAAGTAAGCTAAAAAGCATCCACAAAGTTAAATGAATCCATGTTAAGCATAGGCAAATACAATACTTTTAGGAGTAATTAAATTTTCTTCTTTATTTCTAGGTCTTCTTGTCATAATATCTAATTCAGCTTCTTCATAGACAAAAGCAGTACTTGGAATAATACCAGTACCAACATCAATACAAAGAATTAAGACAGTAGTTAAAGGTAATGGAATATTTAAGATAAAGTAAGCAAATATAGGAATAACTTCAACTATATTACCAGTTAAAACAAATACAATAGTCTTTTTTAGATTATCTATAATTTTTCTACCTTCTTCTATACCAATAACAATATTAGAGAAATCATCATTAAGTAATATCATATCTGCAGCATCTTTAGCAACATCTGATCCTGTTATACCCATAGAGATACCAATATCAGCTTTTTTAATAGCTGGAGAGTCATTAACTCCATCTCCAGTTACAGCCACAATATGTCCTTTCTTTTAACAACCATCAACAATAATTAATTTTTAAGCTGGACTTGTTCTTGCAAATACAATTTAAGATTTACTAAGCCATTCTTATAATTATCTACCTTATTCAGATTCTGGTTTCCCTTCATCATCTATCATCATTTTTGTTAATGAGTCTCCATGTATTACTATTGCATTTGATCTATGGAATGCTTCTTCAAAACTTATTCCTTCTTCATCAGCTATTTCATTAACTGTTTTCTCAGTTATTATATTACATTATTTAGCTATTGATGCTGCTGTTACAGGTTGATCTCCAGTAACCATTATTACTTATACACCTGCTGTTTTACATTTTATTACTGAATCTGGTACTGAATCTTTTGGAGGATCAATTAATGAAAACAAACCTAAAAATTATTATTTATTCCAAGGGAAATTCATTTTATCTAAATTAAAGGGATATCCTTTTGGATATGCTGTTTTTGGTAAATGAACTTTAGCAAATCCTAAAACTCTCTCTCCATTTTTACCAAATGACTTATTTATAGATTTAAATGCCTTTTCCCAATTTTCATCTTTTTATTCCTCATTTCCATCATTATTTACTGTTGTACATAATTCCCATATTCTTTCAGGTGCACCTTTTGACATCAAACAATAAAATGATTCTTCTGTTTCATATTCAAGTATAACAAATGCATACTTGTTATTTGAATTAAATGGCATTCTTGTATTTTTACCATCTACATCTGTTGCTAATTTCTTACTATTTCTTGTCTCTAATATATCTTTTATTGGTTATAAAAATTTAATTAAAGCACTCTCTGATGCATCACCTATTGTAGGTCTCTCTAACCAACTCATTGATTAGTATTTAATTTCCCAATCATTTGTTGCTAATTGAATTTTCTATTCTTTCTATTATTGATTTAATAATTTATCATTCTAAATCTTCATTCTTAATTCTTATGGTAATGATGGATCAAATACAGCTTCTGAACAAAATGATGCGCATTCAAATAAATCTTAAAATCCTTTATTCTATAAATCGTATTCGTAATTATATTTCTTACCAAATTTTTAGTAATTCAAACCTTTAACTTTTTTATTGTTATACCATAAATGTTCAACTGTCATTTTATTCTAAGTTAAAGTACCAGTCTTATCAGAACATATACAAGATGTTGATCCTAAAGTTTCAACACATTCTAAATTTTTAACTAACACTTTCTTTTATGCTAATCTCTTTGCTGTCAAACTCAAAGCTACTGTTACTGTAGCAATCAAACCTTCTGGTACATATCCAACAGCAATACCCATCATCAAAATAATATTTTATAATGCAGGATATCCATAAGACATACCTAAAATGAAAAAGACTATTCCACATATTAAAGCAATTATAGCTATCATTTTTACAAAAAGATTGATTTATTTTCTTAAAACAGACTCTTCCTCTCCAGATGACATAGCTAATCCTGCAATTTAACCAATTACTGTATTATCACCAGTAAATATTACTATACCTCTTCCATTACCCTTTTTATATATTATAATTTTATACCTCTTTACATAAAGTTCCAAAAAATACAAGATTCTTTGTTTCTAAAGGATTTTCTGGATGACTACAATCAGGAGTTCTTTATAATAATAGTGTTTCTCCTGTTAAACTTGAATTATCTACTTTAATTCCATTACTCTCTATTATTCTGATATCTGCTGGTATTCTTTTACCAAATTCTACTACAACTAAATCACCTGGAACTAAGTTTTCAGCTGGAATTTTCATCTATCTTCCATTTCTTATAACCTAGGTTTCAGGTGGTATAAAATTTTTAAATGCTTCCATTAATGCAGCAGATTTTTGATTTTAAAAATAAGCCATTATTCCTGTAACAGTTACCACAACTGCCAATACTATTGCTAAATATAAATTTGAAGGATCTTCTGGTGTTAATCCAAAAGCTATGAATGATAATGCTGATCCTGTCCACATCATGCATGCAAATACTGATGTTAATTCATGCAATAATTTTAAATACCAAGGAACTTATTTTTTTTCTGTCAATTAATTTTTTCCATGTACGACTAATCTCTTTTCAGCCTCTTATGTATCAATTCCATTGATAATATTTGTTTACATCTTGTTTTCTAGCTCTTATAATGTAATCTTATGTTCATCCTTAGATTTATTTATTAATATTTACCATTGATTTAAACTTTTCCTATTTACCAGATGACTCAGGTTTCTTTTCTATTTTTGGGACTCCTTTCATTCTCCCATAGATTTACTCTCTTCTTTATTTCAATTCTTTTGACATTTCATCAAATTGTCGTTTAGCAACAATTAGCTCCATCTCTTATCTACAATATTTTTCATATTTTTACTATGCTTAAGTGAACATTGTCACTATTTAGGATGCAGATCTACTCCAAGCTTTTTTCATCAATTTATTAACTAAAATATCTATAATCAGCTAATATCTATGATTTAAAGTGCAATTTTCTAAAAATAGAAATCAAAATCAACAGATATATAATAATAATTAAGGAATTAATATAAAAGAAAAATTTCTATTTTTTGCATTTTATTGATTAATTATTATATTGATTATTACAATATTTATAAGATCTATTTCTTTGAATTATTTTTAGTTTAATTACTTTTTATTAAAGATTAAAGATTTTATTCTTAGAATATAATATGATCATAAAATCTCACAAATCATTTTATTTTAATTGAACAAATTTACTCCCAAGAAAAGTATATTTACACTCTTTCTTATATTAGATTAAAAAGATTGTTGTAATTAATAGAAATTTATAATATTTATTAATTGAGCTTTTATAAGTGATTAATTAATAATCAAATGAAAAGTTCATCAGGATCAAATAAACTAATAAATAGTAAAAGAACTCGAACATCTTTAACAATAAATTAGGACATGACTTTATCAGCAAATCATACTAGAAAATCATCGATATAAGCAATAGAATTCAATAAACATGAAAATAGCTAACATTAAGATAAAATATATTTCTCTACTCGATAAGTTTCTCCAAAAAAACATACAAATTATAAAAGTAAGAAAAAAATTAAACGTAAGGTTTGGGTGAAACTTTGTTGAAATCTACATCTCAAAAAATGTTAAAAACTACATCATAGAAAGATTTTCAAGAGAGCAATCAAATAAAAGATGGAGATACATATAAGAAGATATCTCCAAAAATAATATTCAAAGATGATAAAATCAATGTTTATTTTGTTAAAGAAATAAACAAATTTACTCAACAAAATGAAATAAAAACACAGATTTAAGAATAAGGTGTTAAAGAATAAACAATATAAGAAGTAACTAATTCAAGAGTGTCAATCAAAGGGCCAATAGGAGGAAATTAAAATTAAATATAAGCCAGAATTTCTTAGGGAATTTTGAGTGATCCTAAACACTTATTTGCAGGATCAAATAAAAAGATAAAACTGGAAAAAGTTGAAAACCTAAATACTAGTGTCAAGTCTTCTTTGTATAAATTATTGAAATTATATCAATGACTATATTCATTTACTTATCATTAATACTGTATATCTGATACCCTTTCTAGCCACACAAACAAGATTATTATTAACATAAGGAACACGACTATTAAAATCATAACTTAAGATAACTAATAAATATTACCCACAAATCACAGCCCATTTTCCAGTATGTTTTGATTCTACACATTCTGAAATATATTCAACTTAAGCAGATAGGTTTTTTTACATTTATTGTGCATTTTAAATTCTCTAATTTAAATAACTATTACATTCCTAAAATTGAATCAAAAACAGCTTAGTTCATTCCTTAATCTCTTTATACAATTTCAAATTCTGCATCACCTTAAGTTCTAACAATTTCTATTTAATCATTTTGATAACTCAGTCTTAATAATTATGATAAATAATATGTTCCACAACTAGTAAATGATTTTCCTATTGTTACTCTCCAACATCCCCCATACCTTTCATCTAAATAATCAGAGATGTATTTTGATCTATCATATTAATTATTCAATCTCTCATATGCAGCCTTAACTATGTTTGATATTTCAAACTCTAATTTAGCATCTATGCCTGAATCTACCTTTATGATCTAAAACATTTATTTTGAATTATATAATAGTTAAATTAGAATAATTAATTTTGAAAGAATATCAATTATTAGGTTGATAATTGTTGCTAAAAAGTGGCACTTCTTTATTACCTTCTTCCATTTGACTCTATGTTCTAGTTTTATTTATTATAAATCAAATACTAAACAGATTAAGTCTTTTTATGTCCCTGTCTTGTAGACTTTTCTTAACTAGTTGGTTTGGGATGAAAATTGCTTCTTTAACTTTTCAAAAAATTATCTCTAAAGGTACTTGAAAACATTGAATGATCAGTATGTTATTATTTATTAGATGCCATCTATTTTTTTCTTTATTTAGTATCATAAAAATCATTCTTTGTTTCAGGCATTGATTTTCTTTCCTCCTCTTTCTTTAATAATTAAATCTAAGCTGGAATATTTTTTGTTTTCTTGAAAAATATTAAATTTGCTTTAAATTATGATTTTACAGATTTCTCACAAAACTTCATTTATATATTTTACATCATATAATCATGAGAATGATTTTTTATTCGTTGATTATTTTTTGCATCCTAAAATTTTCTTTTAGTTTAATAATCACTTCTTAAATAATGTCTACCTTATCCTAGCAATTTTACAGCTTTTGGATCTAATTGAACCTCTGGAAATTTATTGATATTTTTCACAGAACTTGAATAAGACAACTTCGCAGTTGTATACATAATTTATTAAGTCTTGGTTTCAGATTCTTCTCCATATGGTTTGAAGATTTTTGAATGAATTGGCTATTTTATTGTTTCATTTTTATATTTTAGTAATGACGTCAAACTTCTATCCTCAAATTTTGGAAGAAATCCTTTCGATGATTTTTGAGCAGATGGAGATGAAAAAATGTCATATTTAAGTAGTCGTACATCCATTTTATAAGATTAAATAATTATTTTATTTTCAGAATATATAATCCAACACAGTATCAAGACTTATTTTCTTGCTATTTTTTGCTTTTAATTGTTTTTTTAGTTTTTGATAAATTCGCTCTCTCTCATCGTAATTTTAAGTTTCAAGTATGAATTCTAATATCTGTCTAAAAGTAAATCAAAATTTTTTACTTTTCCTATTTTTGATGTTTCTCAACTTGTTCATAATCTGAAATGTATGATGTATATCTATGTATTTCTTAATAAACTGCTAATGCTAATAAAATTACGAAAACAACTAAATCCATTAAAGATTTAATCTCTTTTTGTATTAGTTAGCTCACTATAATAAAAATAATTTTATATGGCAGGCTTTCCAAGTTTGCTTAATAAATAAAAAATTCGACAAATATTTCGTATTCTGTTTACGAAGGTCTTGGGAAAAATATCCCTATTAAAATAACAATAGTATTTTAGATATAGTAGAGTAGTTTTGATTCAAAAGATCTGTAAAGATAAGGTTTTGTTGAAATTAGTATCATTATCAATATTGGACAAAATATTAATTATTCTATAATTTTGGGAATGTCAGAACTTAATTTCAATACCAATGATTACATGTTTTTATCTTAAAAACTTGAGAGAAAATTTAGAGCATAAAACCCAAAGAGCCATAATCCAAAATATGAATAATTTCTTTTCTGAGTGAACATTTTGTAATCTGAATATAAACGATTGAATGATTTTGATAAATATTCTTATTTAAATTCAAAACCAAGCATTTCCACAGTGGTTTTCAATAATTAATTCCATAAAGCATCAACCTCTTTTTCTTGCATAAATGGATATTAAAAAAATATTAATAATAAAATTTTAGCATAAGAAATTAATGAAACTAAAATTATTTATATTATTACTTATCATTCTGAAGAAATGAATTATTCTAACAATGTCCTTTTTTGAAGTAAAGAAAATTCCACGAATCAAAAATTAATTTTTTTTTAATATTTAATCAACAGCTTAATGATTGATTAAGGAAATTATAAACCTAAAGAATTAGTTCTTAAATGATTATAAAGAAGCAATTAACTTAATAATATTTACAAAGTTAAAATATTTCAAAAATTAATATATCAAATTTACATTATAAATGAAGCGAACCTCAGATACTTCGATAGCTATATCAAATGATATGAAAAAAAATTCAAATTCTTAAATTCAATCTAAGCATAATCCACGACTTAAGGAGTACTCACCAAATTTAACATAATTTAAAAAAGATAATTTATCAATAGTTGAAGAAAACTATGAACCAAGTCTAGGAATTAGCTTTTTAGTATATATTTTATACCAATATATGAGGATCGTAAGGAAAGTGAAAAAAATAAAAATAAAATAGAATCATAAGATGTTTTATATAATTTTGGTTAGGCTTCATCTAGGGTCTTAGCATCTCCAATAGATGAGCTTGAAGCATTAAAATAACATAATAAATAGTACCATTTAAAAAATGGTTTGAACTTAATTCGTCTAGTCTCTAAATTTATTCGATAACTAAAAATTCATTCATAAACTTTTCAGTATAAAATGATAAATGAAAATATTTTATAAATGCTTGGAGATTAGGCTTCAAATATAAAAATGTTTATTTACCAAAGAAATCAAAACTTTCATTAAAATAATAAGAAAAACTTTGATACCTATTTTTTTGATATTGAAAATTTTTTCGAAAAAATTCCAGTTTTTAATCCAGATAATTTAATATTAACTTGGTTTAAGATTATTCTATTTGTATTGCTTATAATCAATATTACTTATATTCCTCTTTTAATATTTTTGAATGAATATGATTTTAATAAAGATGGCATACATCATTTCCTTGATACGATACCAATAATATTTTGTATGTTTGATTGTGGTTTAAGATTCAACACATCTTTTTATAATGAAGGTTTTTAATCTAAATATTCTAGGAATCTTGTATAAAGATAAAATTAAAATAGCAAAGTAATATTTGAAAAATGATTTCATAGTAGATATTGTAAGTATTATTCCTATATTTACTGATAGCCTTGCAATATAATATTTAGCAATATTCAGAATAATAAAATTAAAATAAACACTAGCAACTCTGGAAGAAATACTTTGTTTTAAGTAATAAATTTAAGGATGGTGGGAGTTAATAAAATCAATTTTTTTTATTGTTTACACTTGTCATTTTTTTGCTTGTGTTTGGTATAAGATTGGAGAATAAGGAGTTAAAAATAACACAAATAGTTGGTTAATCTCTAAATAATTAAATAATTCTACATGGTAAGAATAATATTTTTTTTCTCTTTATTTTATAGTAATAACAACTTTAACAATAGGATATGGAGATATTCTTCCTTGTAATGTGTAGGAGGCTTTATTTACAATTTTTATTGCTTTTACAGGATGCAGTGTTTTAGGATACACAATTAATAATATAGGTGAAATATTCAAGAATTTAAATGAGAAAAATGTGAAGTTTAAATAATAGATGAAGAGTATTATGTAATATTTAAAGAATTATAATATAAATACAAATTTATCATTGTAAATTAGAAAGTATTTTGAATATCATCTAAAATCTTAAATTGAAGATAATAATGAAGGTTAATAGATGATATAGTAATTGTCAAGATAATTAAGGGAATAGATGTAGATTGATTTATACAAAAAGTATTTGATGAAAGCAAAGATTGTGAAAGATTATTGTTCTTAAAGTACAATAGATAAGTTATGTTAATAAATAAAAATAGAGAGTTATGCACCAGAATCTAAGATTTTAAATTAGAATGAAAGATGTGAGAAATTATATTATGTATTGGAAGGGGAATTAGAAATATACATTACTTTAGGGAATAGTAGAGATGTAAGCTTTTGTAATTGGTTAATAAAGGATGATCTAATAGGACAATGGGAATTTGTTTTATCAAATCCTTATTTGTATTCAGTTAAAGCTGTAAAATTTACTAAGTTATTGGCAATAAATAGAAATGATTTTACAAAAATTTTGAAAGAAAATAAAGAAGATTTTGAGAAGTTTAATTAATTTAAAGATAAACTATTATTTTCTAAAAAATCAAGAGGTAACAAATGCTTTGTCTGTGGCTGGATACATTATTTTAATAAATGTCCATTTCTATTTTTTATATCAGACAAAGAAAAGGTTTTACAATAAGCATTAAGTAATAAAGAATAGAATAGAGGAGTAAATACAAGATTTAGAAAATAAGAGAAAGGAAGAACTTTTTATGGATTAAATAATTTAAGATAGGCAGCATTAGATTATATACAGGATTCTGAAACAAAGTAGAATATCTATATTTATATATTAGTGATTTAACTTTGTAACATTTAGTTGATCTTGGTTTTAATAAGAATGACTCAATTTTACATGGTAGTGCTGTTTATTTAGATGAATTAATAAATAAGAAAATATCAAGTACTTTTAAAGTTATTGAAAATGAGGATGATTCTAATCATTCTTTTTTTTAAGCTCCTAAAGTTGTAGCAACTTATAAAAATAGATCAATTGTTTTTGCCCCAACACCTGATAATGATAGCTTTTTAAATTTAAAATTCTAATCACCTGATTAACTTAATAGATAAAATTCTAATAATGGTCAAAGAGCAAGAAGACAAACAAAAGAATTATCTCGTATTAAATAATCATAACCTAAAATTCTATTTAGTACAAATAAAATAGATTCTAAACTGAATTTTATGAAAAGAAATGATGGAAGTAGTAATTTTTAAAGTCAAATAAGTAGTAATTTAAATAACATTCTAAATACAAATAATAATATTTATTTAAATTAAAATGAAAATTTTGAAAGTTAATAAAATTCATCTTAACATCGAAGTGAATAACCTTCAAGTCTACATCCTTAATAAGCTTAATAACAAATATAAAATAATATAAATGAAATTAATTTTGATATAGATAAAACCTAAGTATTTACATACTATTTTAAAAATGATAATATTTTTGAAATTGTTAAATAATTGATGGAATAGCAAAAATAAATTACTCTAAAGTCTCCAAAAATAATGCAAAAAAGTATTATGTTAGGAAGCAATAAAAATAATAGACGATTAGCTCTTCTTCAAAAAATACTTAAAAAAGACAGTCTAATGATATGATAATTTATAGAAATATTTATTCTATTAATTAGTAATTAAGTATGTAATAATAAATATTACGAAAAGAGTCTAATTAAAATCAATAAAAGTAATAGTCATCTCCATTTTATTCTTCTTCCTTCTACCCATTCTCCTTCCCTTTAATCTCCTAACTCTGAAATCATAACTCCATGACCATGTTATTTTCCTTATTTCCACATTCCTCTATAACTACTACCATTCTCAAATAAAAATTCTCCAAATCCTTCTTTCAGATCTAAATGATACTTAATTTATAAAATAAATCTAAATACGTTTCCAGTATATTTACGACCATCTGGCCAAGAAAACGTGCCTTTTCCATGCATTTGATTATTCATCCAACCACCTTCATACTAATTATATGATATTTATTGTATACTTTTCTTCCATCTGCATACATAAAAATACCTAATCCTTCATATCTATTTTTATTAAATTCTCCCATATACTTATTTCCATCTACATATATGATCTCACCATATCCTGTTCTATGTCCTTATTTATATGCTCCTTTATATTAGAATTAATCATTTATTTCATGACCTTCTCCATGAAATAATGACTACTTCCATTCTCCTTTATATACAAATCCATAAGAATCTTAAAATTCGCCATAACCATCATATTCATTATCATCAAAATTTCCTTCATATCTACATTATTTTATATCAATTACACACTTCCATCGCAACTTATTTATCTTCCTTTTCCTTATTTTACATTCTATTTAAATGTTCCTTCATATAAAGAACCATCTTAATCAATTTATCTTCCAAAACCTTCTTTTTAATAATTCACAAAAGGCCCTTAATAATAGCAACCATCGCTCATTAAGTAACATTACTATGTTAATTACATTAGACATGGAAACTCTTTTAATTTATTTAACACTGCTTAAAGTAAATTCTAAGGCCAATCTACTTTTTATGCATCTTTTGGAATCATTTCAATTATAGAAACTATTTATTCACTCACATTTGATTTCACTTAAACTGCTGTTGTAGCTGATGCCTCTGATTTCTAATTTTATTTACTTTTAGCTAGGTAACCTTGAAATTTAATCATCAATTACGTCTAATACTTGATTATATTTTCACTATCTTTTATTCATCTAAAGAAGCTTCATCTGTTGGAATCAATGGAATCATTGGTTAAATATTCAATCTCCCAACTTCTTAATTTGAACAGCAAACTATTCCCATTCAATATAAAATATATTATTGTTAATAATCAAAACAGATTCCAAATTTTTAGAATTACCATTTATTATTAATTTCTCTTTACCTGTTGAAGTCAAATGAAAAATTAAATTGTTAATTTTATTAATCAAATCATTTCCTATACCATTTTAAATTTAATTCTGGTTTCATTTTTGCTACATTATCTCCTTAAATTAATCATCATATCAAAACGTTTTTACAAGTACTTTTTTGTAATATATGTTTTTTATTTACGAAAATAATTTATCATACATAAAATTATAATAATCTCTTCAATTACAAAAATAGATATTACATTGAATAATTATTAATAAAAATTATGAAAGCAATTAACATTAAATTACAAATAAATTAAAAATAGTATCTTATAATCATTTAATCTAGATCCTATATTTAATTAATAAGTACATAAGACAATTTCCAAAAAATATTTAAGAGATTTATTAAATATATGTGTAATCATTAGTAACTTTATGAAATTCATGTAATGTAATTTAATTTTCTAAAAAAAAAATAAATTAATTTTAATTTATTCATATGCATAGTGGTTTTCTAAATAAAAAACTTGAATATGAATACAATTCAATCGTTAATAGAATGATGATATTATTGATTGATCAATTATCATTACAACTACAATTGAGTATACATACTTTTATTTCATTGTTTAGATTAGATTGCTAATAAAACATTCTTTGACAAACAATTTTATAAGCTTTATAATCAAATTAAAGAATTAGAAGGATAAAAAGCATAGCCTCCTAAATTTAGTAATTTATTATAACCTTTACAATTTGTTATTTAAAAAAATGGAAATCAAAACATAACTATTAACAATTAAAATTAAAATTTCCAAAAAACATATGTTCCTCCAATTTTGGAACAGGATGCAGGTTTTTCTACATAATATACAAAAACTTAAACTATCTCAACAAGAGCAAAATCATTAATTGTATAATCAAAACAATAGCAGACATTTTCTCCAAACAGGGTAAGTCGGGTTTGTAGATATTCAGATAGAAAAAAAACTAAAGTGTAATTAATGAATGTTGGTGAATTCTATGCCGATTTTTAGAATGAATCATAAATATTAGGCAAAAAATAACAAAACAATGGATAAAGGTTTCATACTACAGATTAATATTCAATAGTGAAAACACCTCTAAATTTGGAAGCCCAATAAAACAGAGATACATTAAAATGATAATTAATTTTATGGGAACTATATATAAAAAAATTCCTTTCTCGGTTGTAATTTAACAAGTAATTTCCTCTTTTGTTCACCATTAATTATTGATGCATTTTATAGTTTTTAATTTTAAATGTATTTCTTAATAAACTATATCATTCTTTTCGAATAATCAAAATATAATTTCTTCATTCGTTTGTAAATTAAGTGCTAAATCATAATAATTATTTATTAATAAAAAAGATACCACACATAGATGTAGCTACAAATAACTATCTGAAAATAAAATACAATATTTTTGATTTTAAGGGAGTATGATGAGTTAAATGTGGTAATGTATGTGGNTTAATTCTGGTTTCATTTTTGCTACATTATCTCCTTAAATTAATCATCATATCAAAACGTTTTTACAAGTACTTTTTTGTAATATATGTTTTTTATTTACGAAAATAATTTATCATACATAAAATTATAATAATCTCTTCAATTACAAAAATAGATATTACATTGAATAATTATTAATAAAAATTATGAAAGCAATTAACATTAAATTACAAATAAATTAAAAATAGTATCTTATAATCATTTAATCTAGATCCTATATTTAATTAATAAGTACATAAGACAATTTCCAAAAAATATTTAAGAGATTTATTAAATATATGTGTAATCATTAGTAACTTTATGAAATTCATGTAATGTAATTTAATTTTCTAAAAAAAAAATAAATTAATTTTAATTTATTCATATGCATAGTGGTTTTCTAAATAAAAAACTTGAATATGAATACAATTCAATCGTTAATAGAATGATGATATTATTGATTGATCAATTATCATTACAACTACAATTGAGTATACATACTTTTATTTCATTGTTTAGATTAGATTGCTAATAAAACATTCTTTGACAAACAATTTTATAAGCTTTATAATCAAATTAAAGAATTAGAAGGATAAAAAGCATAGCCTCCTAAATTTAGTAATTTATTATAACCTTTACAATTTGTTATTTAAAAAAATGGAAATCAAAACATAACTATTAACAATTAAAATTAAAATTTCCAAAAAACATATGTTCCTCCAATTTTGGAACAGGATGCAGGTTTTTCTACATAATATACAAAAACTTAAACTATCTCAACAAGAGCAAAATCATTAATTGTATAATCAAAACAATAGCAGACATTTTCTCCAAACAGGGTAAGTCGGGTTTGTAGATATTCAGATAGAAAAAAAACTAAAGTGTAATTAATGAATGTTGGTGAATTCTATGCCGATTTTTAGAATGAATCATAAATATTAGGCAAAAAATAACAAAACAATGGATAAAGGTTTCATACTACAGATTAATATTCAATAGTGAAAACACCTCTAAATTTGGAAGCCCAATAAAACAGAGATACATTAAAATGATAATTAATTTTATGGGAACTATATATAAAAAAATTCCTTTCTCGGTTGTAATTTAACAAGTAATTTCCTCTTTTGTTCACCATTAATTATTGATGCATTTTATAGTTTTTAATTTTAAATGTATTTCTTAATAAACTATATCATTCTTTTCGAATAATCAAAATATAATTTCTTCATTCGTTTGTAAATTAAGTGCTAAATCATAATAATTATTTATTAATAAAAAAGATACCACACATAGATGTAGCTACAAATAACTATCTGAAAATAAAATACAATATTTTTGATTTTAAGGGAGTATGATGAGTTAAATGTGGTAATGTATGTGGTATTGTAGAAGGAGTATTATGTTTTAAAAGGTAGACTGGTTATAATCAAGCAAACATTACATTAAAATTACAAATATATTTTTTTAATTTGGAACTATGAATTCAAAGAAAAATACTTAGAATGATTACAATTTATCAATAGAATCCAACATTTAAGTAGTAATGAGAATAATTTTAGATTAATATTGATAGTGTTGAATGTGATGCATTTTCGAAAACTGACTATATATATATTGCACAAAGATTTGAAATTTTTACAGCTTCATCTTAATGCGAGAATCAAAATTTTTACTTTATTTATGCTATGGATAACTTCAACACAGAATTTGAATAGAAAAAATCTCGGCCACACTTTAAAGTAAACTCAGAGACAGAATGTTATGAACGAATATCATTACCAAGCTCTTGTAGATCATTCAATATGGAAGTTAAACAAAATCTAAGTTCAACTAACCAAAAACTAATTTTTACAATCAACAGAGATTATAAGTGCACTTGGCTATGTTTGAACAGGTACTGTATTTTGATAATATAAGACCATATGTCAAAACAGTAGGATCATAAGGAAATGAATTAGGTTATGTTAGATTCCCTTTATTTTCAATATTAAAAACAGTTGAAATATTTGATGCAAATAATAATTTGTTATTTTATATAAAAGGTATTTGGAATTAATTCTAAACTTATTGTTATCTGCCCTGTGGTTTTTGTTAAACAATATCTTTTGACATCCTTAATAAATTCAATAAAGTAATAAATATTATATTTAGAAAATAGCTGAAATAAAGAAGATCAGTCAAAAAAAGGGATGCTGTTATGAATGTATGTTAAATGTAGAATCAGAATATGTAGTCCAATTTCCTAAATTATCTTCTTTTGAAGAAAAAGCTCTTTTACTTACTGGGATCTTTTTTTTGGACTAAAGTTTTTATGAAGAAAAATATAGTGATATGTGTTGTTTATGTATGTAAAGATGTTGTTGTTCTTAATGTATTGAATGATATATACAATAAATCTATTATTAATAATAAATTATATATAAATAACATAATTTATTAAATATCTTTTATAAGCAAAGTTTTAAGATATTTGAATAATGTTAATGACATGTAAAAAACAGAAGCTCAGAATTATTATTCAATATTTTAAATTAGGTTTATTATTTGATCATTTGATGGGGCTATGTATACAAGCCTACATAAGATTATATTCTAAAAAATATGAAAAATTATAAAATTAATTTATAAAATGTATGAAAAAGAAGATATAGAAATTAATGAGTTCTAGATCTATAAAAACTATCAATAAAGAAACAAATCTCTATATTCAGAACAAAAAGCCATCATATGATTTATATATTATAATTTTTAATTTGGATGCCTGTTGGATGTGTAAAAAATAAATTTTATTTATGAATGCAAAAATTAAATCCTTTATTTAGATTTTTGAAATTATCTTCATTTAAATTATTATTGCATAATGCTTTCATTAGATTATTTTTTTTAATGAATTATTTCTTAAATTATCATTTTTCATGTTATCATAAAATCTAATTATGTAAAGTTTGATCAATTGTTTAGAATCTAAAGATCTGAGAGAATTGTTCAATTAAGAATAACGAATTGATGAAACTACGTCATGATTAGATTTTGATAACAATTATCATTAAGATTGTGATCGCAATTTTTGTTACAAATGAAATTTCATTTTAAGATAATAATGATGGTTTGTTACTATAAGATTAGAGTTTATCAAATTCATTAGTAGGTGATTCATCAAATTGATTTAAATGAACAATAAGTTTATAGGAACTATTAATATATAAAAATACTCTTATTATCATTTGAATGATTACTTTATTGGATTTATTGAAAGCCCTATGATAGAGTTAATTTTTAGGAATAATCTTAGACATTTATAATCTGATTAAGAAGAGAGACATTGAGAGCTTCCCATTAATTAATGTATTAAATAATTCATACTATTTATCAAACAGATCAAATTCTAATTCATTAAGCAAAGAATGGAAATATTCCTATGATCTCTTTAACTGTAAATAGAAGAATTGATTTAATGCCACTTGCATAATGTGGAGGATTATGTTTGAAAGTAAGCAAAGAGTTAGGTGCTAAATTGGAAGTAACAAATCAAAAAATAGTTTTAATAGAGGATGTAAAATTAGCAGACAACAAGACAGAATTGTATTTCATAGGAGAATTATATCATTTAAATGATTAAGATTTAATAGAAGGCCATAAATTAGAAAGTGTAAGACGAATTTTAATTGAACTGTATAAGGCATACGATTCATTATTGAAATAGAATAAATAGTTAGATTTCTCTCTCTATAATCTATTTTTAGTTTAAGATTAACTAAAAGTATTAGATATAGGAGTTTTAAATAAAAAAGTCTAAAAAGACTCAACTCCAACAAGTATGCTTGCATTATTAATTTTAAAACTATTTTTATCACGACAATAATACAAACCATTAAAATATATGAATAGTGGATAATAGATAGAATACATACGGAAATTAAATGAATATTCAATTTTATTGCCAATGCTAGATGATATTCCAAAAAGAATTTCCTGGGAAAATCTTGGTTGTTATCTCTTTTAAGATGTTAAAAAATAAGAATTTCTATCAACCATGCCTATTGCTATGTATTATAAATAGCCATACAAATTAAATTCAACATTAAATTCATATAGTTTGGCAGTTTAAAGAATGTAGAGTAATTTAAGGTCTAGAAGTAAAAGAAATGTAGGATCTTTATATGAACATTAAAAAACATCTATTAATGGATTAGATGATGATTCTTAAGAAAATCAAAGAGTTATTCGTTCAAGAAGATTAATTAATCCAAATATTAATCTTATTAAACCAGGATCAATGCAATCTACTCCTAATCATAATAAATTAGAGCATCCTTATAGACATTCTCCTTAAATAATTAATAACTAATCATAAACTTAATAAATTAGAGCTTCATTCAAAACTGAAAACTCTTTATAAACAATATAACAAAATGTTTCTTATGATAATTTCTTTTTAAAAACATAAACAATGACTCCAGAGGATTCATAATCTAAATTTATATCGATTAATGCCAGTGTTAGTTAAAATTATTATTCTCAAGAAAATTAAAATTAAAATGACTAATTAACCACTTTATAATAATTATAGGTGAAGAGCACAATTTAACATGAAAAAAGAATTTTCAAATTACCTTAACATAAATAATTACCACCAGAAGATAATGAATAAACTATAAAGGTCACTAAAATGGAGGAAGATTTGACTAAGGAGTTTGAAAAATATTCAGAAAATTATAAACATTATATTGAATGCTTAAATATGATTGGTAAGACAGTTGCTAAATGTATAACTACTTTAGATGCAAAGAATAATCTTTGGATGATGCCTTTATTTATTGTATTTAAAAGAATGTATTAATTAAGAATTTCTTTAGAAAATAGTATACAAAATAATCACAATATTTTCCATCTTTAAAATTATACATAATTTACAGAAAGTTTGTAATTTCAAGAGTTTAAAGAGGGATTTATTAATCAAAATAATATTGTTAAAACAGAAGTTTAAACTTTATTATAAAATTGTGAATTCAAGATAGAGAAACTTGATAAAAAAAATTAATAAAAAATAGTTCCTTTGTTGAATCTAAATTTAGATTAGAGTATCAGGGATATTTCGTTTATTTACTTTTACTAATAGATTTATAGTTATATTAAAAAGTTAATGGTAGAGCGCCCTAAATAAGCACAATAATTAAGGGATTTGATTGTTAAAATTTAATGCTCCTTATTAATAATGGATTAAGCTATTGGTGATTTTAAATTTGATTTATAAGAATATAATAA